TCTCAAACTTTAATTTAGGTACTTTTTGTTTATTATTTATTTTTTGATGGTACTGTAGTTTGAATTCAGGGCGGGGCAGGTACTACCACATGATCCATGCTTCTAGCCCTTTTTTCTTGGTATTTTTCAGATAGAGTCTCATACTTTTTTGCCTGGGGCTGGTTTCAGGCTGTGATTTTACTATGCTTACTTGGGATTACAACTATCCTGCCAGGCTTGTTTGTTGAGATTGTGGTCTCACTAACTTTTTTGCTTGGGCTGTTCTCAAACTGTGATCCTCCCAATCTTCACCTCCCGAGTAGCTGGGATTATAGATATGTACCACTACACCCAGCCCAGTACTTTTTTTTTAATGGCAGTAACTGCATTTGATCCCAGAGCCCTGTGCCTGCTACTCAGATGCTCTATCATTCTAGCCCTTTTTGCTTTTGGTTATTTTTGACATAGGGTCTTGTTTTATGCTCAGAACAGCCTAAACTGTGATCCTATCTATGCTTCATACCATATAGCTGGGATGACAGACATGTCCACCATGACCAACTTTTATTGGATTGAGATGGGCGACTCACGAACTTTTTGCCTAGGCTGACCACAAATCACGATCCTCCTAATCCCTAGCTCTCAAGTAGCTAGGATATAGGAATGAACCACCACACTCAGCCCAGTACTTTTTAAATAAGGGGTGATAAAATAAGTCCTATAAAGAAGAAGATGCTTTCATATTGGGAAAAATAACTGTGAGATACCCAGATCACCTGCGACCACAGCTAAAATCTGCCAACAGTACAAATTAGTACTTTAGATCAACTGTATGTCAGGTTCAAATTGCAGAACAGTTTTCACCACTATTAGAGGAACACTTTGTGAAGGCAGGCCAATAAATCTGTTCTAAGTCATGACTGATGAGGGCTGAGGGCATGGATCAACATAGTAGCACATCTGACCAGCAAGCATGAAACGAGTTTAAATCCCACTGCTTGGGAAAAAAATATATATATATATACATAACTGATCAAGAAACTTAAGCTCAAATGAGGAAATAAAATTCATGGATTTAATCTTTACCGGGTAGTTAGCCTCAGAAAGACACATTAATAAACAAATCAGTAATAAGCATTCTGTCAAACAAATTCCTATTCTCAAAGAACATGTGAATTTTTTCTAAAATAGAAAAAATAATTCTAAACATCAGAAAATCACATTCTCAGATTCTATGGTACAGATTTTATGTGTTAGAATAGTCAAGAGAAAAAGGTAATTTATACTTTTTATACTATGTATCTAATACAAAGCACATACTTTTTTACCTCACTGCTTCAGAGCTATTTTATTAGAATTACTACACAAATTTCACTTTCAGATAAAATGTAATATATTTATTTAAATATTTTCAGCCTCAGGTTAAGTTGCAAAAATTGTCAAAAGGCTAATACTAAAGGGATCCACAGTGTAATAAATATGAAAGAAAGTAAGGCCACCAATACTCTGTCAGCCAGTCGCAGAGGCTCACACCTGTAATGCTAGCTACTTGGCAGGTGGAGATCAGGATGATTATGGTTCAAGACCACCTAGGCAAAAAAACAGTTCATGAGACCCCATCTCAACTCCAGCAGCCATGCTCCTGGCTGGGCATGTTTGTACACACCTGTCATCTCAGCTACACCAGGAAACAAAAACAGGAGGATCTCGAACTCTATGTTTTCAAATCATTACATACTTTAAAAAAATCAATGCAAGAACCAAATGCACAAACAAGATTTACACGTATATCTTCAAAGAAAATAGTTGGAAACCATTTTATACTGAACCCCACGATGAATGAAAGATGCCAATTCAACATGGAAGTTTTAATGTGAGATGATTAACACACGTACAAAAGAACACCCAATACTTTTTGGCAACTTACAATTTTAAAAGTGAATAATTTCAGTATTATAGCAATTTATAGTTCCTTTAGAGAGCTAGTCATAACTGTCTGAAAAGATGGGAAATTAAGGCAAGGTATGGTGGTTCATGCCTATAATCACAACTACTTGGGAGGCAAAGATAGGAAGAGTGTGGTCCTAGACCAGTCTGGGCAAAAAGTTAGGAAGACTCTATCTCAAAGAACAAGCTGGGTGTGGTGGTGCATGAAGGTGTAGGAGGATCTGGGCTGAGGCCAGCCCCAGACAAAAACACAAGACCTGGGCTGGTGGAGTGGCTCAGATAGTAGAGAGCCTGCCTAGCAAGAATGAAGCCCTGAGTTCAAACCCCAGTACCACAAAAACACAAGACCTTATCTGAAAAAAAAACTAAAGCAAAAAAGGGCTGGAAGCATGGCTCAAGTGTAGAACCCTTACCCTGAGTTCAAACACCAATGTGGCCCAAAAAAAAAAGACAGAGAGAGAGAAAAAAAAAAGAGAAATGAAAAAATTAAGATCATGTGAGATAAAATGCTGTACTCAAAACCATAGTATTTAGCAGAACTAGTTAAAAGCCCAGTCTCTTAAGTGATGAGGATTAATTATCAATAAATGCTGTTTTTAGATGTTAAGTTTTTAAAAAGCCATTGCATAACTTGGTTGTGTTTGCCTTTCCATGTTTCTGCACTCACACATACCTGCCCCTCCATTTAATTATATGTCTGCTCAGTAGTATGTCCTCATCTTCTCTTTGTTCATTCTCTATCCCCTTAAGTTCTTCCTCTTCAAAGAATTAACCACTACCCAAGGTTATATTATACATCTGTGTCTTCATTTACTGATTATGTCACTCACTAAAAAGTAAGCTCCATATGGGCAGCAATTTTGATCGATGTTGTTTTTGTTTTTTCAGTTCATGAAGAAGTAAAGTAGATTATTAATGCCTATGTTAGTTGTTAGAAGTGTAATTCATTTTTAATCTGGTTCTCTAGTACATCCGAGTCATTAGCTTTTTTAACAAGGCAAAGTGTAAATAAAATGAAGTAACTTTAACATCTAACAAATGACTAAGAATAACAGTGAATTTCATTTAAAACATTCAGTTCTCTAAATCAATCTGCATGTACAATTTTAGATAAAATAAAGCTACATGGTAAAATATCACAATGGTGATATAATTCAGATATACCAGAAAAATTTATGAACTAAACTAGTTGTAGACTTATGTCTCTATAAACTTTGATTTACTGTCAGAACACTGTTTTAATTATACCATCATCACAACACTGTTCCAAATATATATACCAATTACTCAAAACATCAGTAACTGCCTCAAAGTAACTACTACAATAGCATGGATTGCTTATTTGGAAATAAAGCATGCATTTCACTAAGACTTAAGAAAACTCAGCAACACATTGCTGAATATGTCCTTGTTAAACCGAAATGACCAGTGATAAGACAATTCAAAAATAATGCATGGAGCCCACTGAACATTTTTAATAAATTAAAACCTAAAAATTTCATGTGCTTAACTCTAATAATGTGATTAAATACTTAAAATAACTTTCTGTACTTACAGAATCCTGAAAGTTAGATATATCACTACTTCCATTTTATAGATGAGAGAAATGAGTTTTAAAAAAAAGATTTACTTGACAAAGGTAATTCAGTTATTAGAAGACCTAAGTCCAAGAGGTCTGAAAGCAAACCATATACTTAACCAAAAAGCGATATAGGACAGCTGAATCAGTTATTAGGTAAAGAAATCAAATTTTATTTTTATAATGCTGTTAACAACCTACAAATAGCACAAAAGAAAACAATATCCAGTCCTAAATAAAATTCTTAAAGTATGACAAAATGAGCTCTAAAATGTATTAGAAAACTGGGCCTAAAATTCAAAATATAATACAGACAGAAGCACTGTAGGAATTCCCAATAGTAAACTTCTCATAAAATGTCACTATTACTTACTATGTGGCTTTAGCACTGCCTTGAACTGTTACAGTCAGAATAGGTATCCACGTTCCTCTATATTCAAATGCTGGTAACAAAGTAACACCTCCACCAATCCCTACCATTCCTGAGTTAGCTGGTGCAGAGACTGGGCCACCTGAATTATTATTTCCTATTAGATAAGGAGGAAAAGCAAAGACATCAATTTACTAGTTGACTATAAATCAATAATATTCAATCACCTGGTTAGTCTTTAAAAGATGTATACTATCAGAATAAATATTACACCTATAAATGAAATTTACCAATTCTGTTTTATCTACTAAGAAATCTATTTTCCCCAAAACACCATTTCCTTTTTTACATAAAAGCTATTAGAGTAAAATTACAAAATTTTATTATATCTTCTGCTAGACTTCTTTTTATCAAAGGTGGGAATAAAGAATAAAAAGGTCATCAATCAGACAGCACAAAATGACAGAGAAAGAAGGCAAAGGGAAACAAGTCATACATTGATTCCTGAACAAACTTAAACCACATTGAGCCCCTTCTGTTAAAGAGACTAACTGACCTTCTAAGGCAATAACCCTCTAGACTCTATAAAGAAATCAAATGAAGATTCTTCTAGAATGAAAATTAGTACCTAAGCTTTTATCCTTATGTGATTAGAGGAACTAAAAATATACCAGAGAAGAAAATCTATTCTGGAAAAGAAAATAAACGTTGTTGTTACAGTGAGATTACCTGAGTATAAATCTTTACTATTAATCTGTAAGGTAGTCATAGTCTCTAGTCACAAGATTTTTAGAAAACATCCTCTCAGAATAGCAAATATTATAAACTTTGGAAGAATATAAAAATATAATATGAATATGCCTTTACCAGCTTGGTTTGTTGTAGCAGGATTTCCAGTAGGAGGGACAAGAAACAAGGATTGGATGAAAGATCCCAGTGCGTTCACGATATCACGAAAAACCTTGGTGGAGTGCTGTTTCATATCATATGACTGACAAAATGACCTGTAAAACAAATGAAAATGTTTCCGGGGAAAACATATGAATGTACTAAAAATTTTAAGCATTTTTAATAGCATGTAATGTTGCTGTAATAGTTTCAATGCTATGTTTAAAGACATAGCATTGAAGGTGTGTCTTCAGCACACCTGAGTGGTTTTACTAATTTAGAACCAAAACTTAGATTGAAGATTTTAAGAATATATATATTGGCTATGTTAACCCAATAAATTCAGATTAATGGCAATTACTAATCACGTTTTTCTTCCCTCCCAGTTCTTCTCTATTCCTCCATCTTGCCCCTTCATATACATATATAATTTTTTTAAAAAAATCACTAATATTTTGGAATAAATGCTCCTCCTAGTTTATTAGCTTATCCATTTAACAAAAATTGCTGAAATTTTACCTTAACAGCTGAGGCTGCACACAGAGTCTGTGTATTGATTCTACCGCAACAGCTCGTAGCCACTGTGGTTTATCTGCATCCAGAAATTTCACCAGAAGTGACAGAAATATCTCACATTCAGTTACCTGAAAAGTACAGGATTTTGGAAACAATTTTTTTTAATCATAGAAAGGAATAATAGGTTCTTAGGCTGGTGAAGTGGCTCAAATGGTAGAGCACCTGCCTAGCAAGCATGAGGCCTTGAGTTCAAGCCCTAGGTTCTGTCAAAAAAACTAAAAAAAAAAGAGTGGGCACTGGTGGCTCATGCCTGTAATCCTAGCTACTCAGGAGGCAGAGATCAGGATGATCGTGGTTCAAAGGACTATTTGCCCAGGCAAATAGTTCTGAGATCCTATCTTGAAAAACCCTTCACAAAAATAGTGCTGGTGGAGTGGCTCAAGGTGGAGGTCCTGAGTTCAAGCCCCAGAACTGCAAAAAAAAAAAAAAAGTTCTTGCTCTTAACTTAGTGCCATGAACAATCCAATAAAATCTTTTTTTTTTTTTTCTTGATGGTACTAGGGTTTGAACTCAGGTTGTCTCACTTGAGACACACCCGCTGAGCCATATACCCAGCCCCTTGCTGCTTTAGTATCTCTATGGAATGTAAGTTTTCTTTAAGTAAAGAAAACAGAGAGCCGGCCATGGTGGAGGCCAAAGCAGGAGGATCATAAATTTGAGGACCTGGACTATGTAGCAAGATCCTGTTTCAAAAAGCAAATGAACAAATAACAAAAAAAGAAAACATAAAAACAAGAGAAAGGTATTCCACATTATACATCTCACCCCACAACTATCATGACTCTATCTTTTGCCCTTAAAGAAACTGTAGAATGTCTGAATTTTTTCAAACTTTAAGTCAGAAAGTCCCAATGTAACCAATTTTAACATCAAGTAATCGATAGTTTATGTGCATCTGAAGAATTCAGCTTTGCAAATACAGCCTTAGCACTCTTATTGGGAAGGGATGTTTTACCAGTTGATCATGATCCCAATTAATAAAACAGGGAAGCAGGTCATCTAGGCAGTAACACTCAGACTTTTCTGTAACTGATTGCATTATCTGGCCCCTACCCATTTAACGAGACAAAGATCAAAATTTGGAGAATGGCATATGAGCAGTACAAGAAACTTGGTATACAGGCAGCATTGGACAGCAAAATAAATAAAAACAATTTATTGTAATAAAATGCAGTGGGGTAGAAGTGTAGCTTTGGGAGTCTAAATGAATTAGTTAACATACCAGCTCTACAGTTTATAACTCATCGTCTCAGGTAAATTAAACATCTTAATCTCATTTTCTCTGCAGTAAAATAGAAACATGAATAGCTGATTCACAGTATAGTTTGAATAAATTAATGTGCATATAGCAGTGCCATGGACTGAGTATTTGTGTTACCCTAAACTATGTATGTTGGAGCCCAATCCCCCATGGGATATTGGGAGGTGGGGCCTTTGGGAGATAATTAGGTCATGAGGGTGGAACCCTCATAAATGGAATTAGTGCTCTTATAAAAGCCTTCTCTTTCTGCTCTCCACCATGTGAGGATACATCAAGAAGACAGACATCTATGATCTTGGAAGTGGGTCTTCACAGATATAAGATCTGCTGATAACTTGATTTTAGATTTTCCAGGCTCTAGAAATGTGAGAAATAACTGTCTATTGCTTAAGCTACCAGTCTCTGGTATATTTTTTATAGCAATCTGAACTAATGAAAGTGAACATTTGCACAGTGTCCAAGATATGTACACTCAATAAAGCAATTATGTTCAAAACCAAAATTGCTGAGGAATAAGGCATATGAATCTCTGAAAAGTCATTAAGATAAACTGTGAGATAATAGTACTGGTGAACAGAAACCCAGTATCTTAGTCTTCTTGAGTTTCCATAAATAAATAACCATAAACTGGGCAGCTTAAACAACAGAAATTGATTTCTGACAGTTCTGGAGGCTAGAAGTCTAAGATCAGTGTGCCAGTATAGAATCTGGTCAGATTTTGGTGAGGGCCCTCTTCTTGTACCAGGTGGAAGGAGGAAGGGAAAGAGTGAGGTGTAAGAGAGAGAAAGAGGGTGAGAGGGGGAGGGAGGGAAAGAAGAGAAAGAGGGAGAGGGAGAGGAAGAAAGGGGAGGAGAAGAGGGAGAGGAGGGAAAGGGAAGGGCAGAGAGAGAGAGAGAGAGAGAGAGAGAGAGAGAGAGAGAGAGAAGGGAGAGGAGAGAGAAGGGAGAGGAGGGAGAGAAGAGAGTAGGGAGAAGGGAGAGAAAGAGTATGTGTGAGAGAGAAATAAGAGTGGAGGAATATATACCCAGAAGTGGGATTGCTGAATCAAATGCTAATTCTCTTCTTAGTTTATGAAGAACATCTATATTGTTTTCCATAGCAGCTGCACCACTTTACACTCTGCCAACAATAAAACATAGTTTCAATTTCTACTTTGTTATTTTCTATTTTTATTTGCTTTATTCATATATGCATACACACACACACACACACACACACACACACACACACGGTGGCCATCCTAATGCATGCAAGGTGATATTCTACCATAGTTTTGCTTTGTGTTTTTCTGAGATTGAACATGTTTATCACATGCTTGCTGGTTGGACCCTTGTATATCTTCTTTGGAAAAATGTCTATTCAAGTCATTTGCTCATTTTTAATTTATTGAAGGGTTTTTGTTGTTGAGCTATAGTTCTTTATATATTTTGGAAAACAATCCCTTATCAGACATATTATTTATAATTATTTTCTTTCATTCCAAAGATTGCCTTTTCATGCTGTTGACTGTTTCCTTTGAGGTACAAGAGTTTTAAGTTTGAGAGATGGTGGAGTGTTTCAAGTGGTAGAGCACCTGCCTAGCAACAGTGAGACGCTGAGTTCAAACTCCAGTATCATCAGTAAATAAATAAATAACAGAACAGTTTTAAGTCTGATGTAAATCCATTTGTCTATTTTTGCTATTGTGGGCTGTGCTTTTGGTGTCACAGCCAAGAAGTCATTGCTAAATCCAACATCACAAGGATTTTCCTCTTTGTTTTCTTTTAGAAATTTTATAGTTTAAAATTTTACACACATTCATTTTGACTTATTTTTGGCATATGGCAAAAGATAAAGATCCAACTTCATTCTTTTGCATATGGATATATAGCTTTCTCAGCCCCACTGCTGAAGCTGTCCTTACCCCACTGATTAGTCTTGGTACTTTATCAAAGATCATCTGACCATACACAAGAGTATATTTTGGGGCTCTCCATTCTCCAAGTTCCACTGGTCTTCGTGTATGCCAGTACCTTACTATTTTGATTACTATAGCTTTATAACATACTTTTAAAAGCGTTAGGTCTCCAACTTTGTTCTTTCTCAAGATCTTTTAGCAACTTGGGGTCTCCTGAGATTCTATATAAATTTAGAATGGATTCTTCTATTTCTGCAAAGCATGCTGTTGGGATTTTGATCGGAATTACACAGAATCTGTAGAATACTTTAGGTACTATGGACATTTTAACAACATTAAATATTCCAGTAGTCCAATCATGAATACTGGATGCCTTTCCATTTATTTGTGTCTTTAATTTCTTTTACCTCCTTGATTAAATTTATTCCTAAATATTTTATTCTTTTTAGGCAATTTTCAATGGAAATGTTTTCTTAATTTCTTTGGAAAAGTTCTTTGGTGTCAGGGATTTATTGGCCTCATAAATTGAGTTGGAAATATTCTCTTCAATTCTTTGCACTGGTGATAATTCTCCTTTGCATGCTGGGTAGAATTTTCTAATGAAACCATCTGGTCCTGAGCTTTTCTTTGTTGTGAGGCTTTGGATTATTGATTCAATCTCCCTCCTAGTTATAATTCCGTTAAGAATTTTATTGTTATTCAATCTTGCTAGGCTGTATGTTTCAATGAATTTGTATTTCTTCTTGGTTATTCAATCTCTTGCATAATTGTTCTTAGATACATTTTATAATCCTGTTTTAGTTCAGTAGCATTAGTTGTAAGGTTTAGTTTTCCATTTCTGATTTTAGTTATTTGAGATTTTTCTGGTTAGCCTAGTTGAGGGTTTATTAAATTTGTTATCTTCTCAAAAAACCTAGTTGAAGGTTACCTAGTTTATTAAATTTGTTATCTTCTCAAAAAACCAACATTTAGTTTCTCTAAATCTGTATTTTTCTATTCTCTATTTTGTGATTACTACTCTTCTGCTAACTTTGGCTTTAGATTATTTATCTTCTAGTTTCTTGAGCTATAACATTACATTATCCATGTTAGATTTTGCTTATTTTTGATGTAGGTATTCATCACCATAAATTTCCCTCTTAGTTCTGCTTTTATTACATCTCATTTTAATTTGTCTCAAGATATATTCTAATTTCCCTTGTGACTTCTTCTTTGAACCTTGGTTGTTTAAGGGTATGTTGTTTAGCTGGGGGATGTGGCTCAATTGGTAGAATGCTTTCCTAACAAGTCCAAAGTCCTGAGTTCAAGCCCCAATACCACCAAAAGAAGAGTGTGTTCTCTAATTCTCACATATTTGTGGCTTTTATTCCACTTTCTTTCTTTCTGATTTAATTCTACTATTGTCTGAGAATATATTTAGTATAACTTCAATCTTCCTAAACTTGTTATATTCAGTCAATACTGTGGAATATTCCATGTACTCTTAAGAAAAATCTGTATTGTGCTAATGTTGGGTAGAGTGTTCTGATATGTCTGTTAGGTCCAATTGGTTTATAGTGTTGTTCATGTCCTCTGTTGCCCTATTATCTTATTGATCTTACATCTACTTATTCTATTATTATTGAAAGTTAGGTATTGAAGTCTCCTATAATTTGCTATTTTAGTAATTAAAAATAAGTATATAAATGCTAAAAAATTAAACAATGCTGAATTTGACTTTTCTTAAAATAAAAAAGAAACAGAGTATACCATTTTCCATGAGGAATATCATTTGAATGACTAATTATTAAAGTAATAATATTATGATCAGGGGATATCAAAACATATTCCATATCCATAAATCTACACAAAATTCGGAACTGTACTAGAAGTAAAAAAAATGATTTCTAATCCTAGATTTCACCAAATCTTTAACATCTGCTTTCATCTGCTAAGACATATTAAGTAATAAAATAAAAGCAGAATAAACTGGGTTCTATCATTTGAATTATCCTTTGTATGTGATATAAATAAGTAGCTAAAAAAGGTGATGACCTCCAAAACTACAAATTCTATTCTGCCTTTAGATGACAGGCTATGACTCCCCTTGACATGTTATAAATACTGTTTAAACATAAGCGAGATTCAATAAAGGATAGAATAAACCTTTAAAGTACCCGGAAGAACACCTGTACTCAAAAAAAATTCTGCTGAACTGAATAGAAAAAACTAACATATATACAGGCCATTTTCTGAAAGAACCATGGTGTGATAGTATATCTTGATTGTCAACTTGATTGGATTGAGATGTATCTAAGAGAGCAGTAATGCACACCTGTGGGTATATCTGTAAGGGCATTCTCAGAGATGATAAACTAAGATGGGAAAACTAACCCTGAATGTGGGGAGCGCCAGTCAATAGTCTGGGAACCCCGACAGAAAAAATGGGAAGGAGGAAGCCCACTAGCACAGGCATGCTCTCTGTTTGATTCCTGGCCACCAAAATGTAAGCAGCATCTGCCACCTGCTCCTGTCACTATGTTGTTTCTGCCTTGCCTCAGGCTGAAAGCAATGGAACCAGACAACCATGGAATAAAATCTTTGAAATTGAGCCAAAATAAATCATTCTTTATTTAAGTTATGTTGGGTATTTTGTCACAGCAACAAGAAACTAACACACACTGTAATACATACAAACATGTATGGAAATTAGCACTTACCAAAAGACTGTAAAACTGCTTGATCAGAACAGATACTACTCTCAGCAAACGCATGCAGATAGGGAAATATGGTTTTTCAACTGGTGCTGGGGAAGATGAAGTGCTGGACCCTTGTCTGAACTTTATATTTGGAGAAAAGAGCTTAATCACAAGAGGACATACCCTTTCCTTCAGAAGGAAACTAAATTCCTGGTGCTATTTGCAAAGGGGAAAAAAAAAGAAAAAGAAAAAAAGAAATTGTATTTAATACTTATAAGGCACAGTCTCACTAGCAAATAAAATTTCTTGAATATTAATTTAAGTAATCTAACTGAATTGTAAGTTTATATATTTTATTATTTTACAGTTTACACAAAATTTTGAAGTTTACGTTGTAAGAACGACCTCAGAACAAAATGATAATCAATATTTCAACAAGTCTTAAAAATAACACACTTAAAAAAGGAACATTAATGATTTCAGAATTGAGTAATTGGTGTTATTACTAGCAACTTTTAATTTTAATTGGATATTGGTAAATATATTTCAGAAATACGAGCAAACAAAACACTTAAAATAGGTTGTGGAGGAGTGAAAACTCGATTAATGAAGTATAATAAGCAATGTAATTACTGATTGTATTCTGCAAAGAAGAATTACACTCATGCAGAGATTTAATAATTAACCTAAAATTTTGTTGTACTTGAACACAATGAACTGATAAAACCTTTAATGAGAAACAGCTAATTATTTTACAAGCTGGAGTATTCTGCAAAGAATTAAAAATTTTATTTATAGACACTGTAAATTAGTCAGAAAGACTTTCTTCATCTGTTAATTCCCTGTCTTTATTAACTAAGAGTAGTCTCACTATAGGGATAGTATAAGGCCTAGTCTTCATTTTAATGATTAACTTCAAATATATTTTATTTTGTTGGTTTAATCACCCAAATTTCATTGAGACTATAAACAAAGGAAGAATCATAAAATCATCCATCTAATCTTTTAATTGTACAGAAAAGGAAAATAAGTCATAAAGAAGTATTTGCTCATTAAATACATAATTAAGGAATAAAATACAGGTAAGTAAAAAGACAAAAATAAAAAGCTTTCCTAATCTCACCTCCTAGAAATAAGTTAATCACTGTTAAATTCTGGTGTATACCCTTCTAGATTTCTATATATGCTTTAGTGTACTTATTAATTTCTTCCACCCCAAATGGGATATTAACACTTAAATGGTTTGAAATTTTACTCTCACTCCTACAGTTAGTTTCTTTGGCCACAAAAATAAAATGTACAGTTAAGTCCATTTTCATACTTTACAAAACTATTCTTATGTATTGACACATAGAGAGAGACAACTCTTAAAAGTGTTTTATCTATTCACTATTTCCCCCCTCACTACTAAACTCACCATAGTTGGGTTTCTCCATCATCACCACAGCAACCCACTTCTCATTATATTCAACATGATCTCTGTGGTCAAAGCAAAAATGCCTTTCCAGTCTCCATCTTATCAGATTTCTTAAAGCCCTTGTTGTAACTGATTACTTGGTTCATCTTGAACTTTTTCTTTTTCTTTTTTTTAATATGTTTAGTTTTGCAGTCCTGGGAACCAAACCCAAGGCCTCATACATATGAGGTAAGTATTGTACCACTGAGCTACATCCCCAGCCCTGCTTTGTCTTTTATTATGTAACACTTTCTGGTTCATTCCTGCCTCTCTGGCCTTGTGTTCTTAAGTCTCTTCTGCATGTTCATCCTCTCAACCCAGTCATTTAATATTAAAGCTCCTCTGAGCTCCAGAGTACAAGACCCTTTCTTTCTACTCTATGCTTTTACCAAATCACCTCATTCACTCCCGTATCTTTAGTTAGCAACTATATGACAAGAATGTTTAAATTTACAACTTTAGCCCAAATTTTCAAAACACATAAGTCCAACTAACTATTGTATTCTTAGCATTAAACACATTATAAATGACTGATAATTTTTAGTTGAATATGTGAATTCTGAGAAAAGAAAATTAGTATATGTTTTTGGAAGAAAATTTTGTAGAACTAAAATCTGTGACCTTACACAGAGTAATTATTCTATATCCCTGCATTATGGCAAGGACAATAAACTAAGAATTCAGTGGGACTATGAATCTGGAATATATATATTACTTATAAGGTGATAGGTGCTACAAAAAAAGAGGAGGGCTGGAGGCATGGCTCAAGCAGTAGAGTACCTGCCTAGCAGATATGAAGCCCTGAATTCAAACCCCAGTACCACCAAAAAAATAACAATAATAAAAAGTTTAAACATAAAGAGGGGTAAGAAAAATATGGATGCTGTCCTGAAAGGAAAGCTTCAATTTTACATAAAGTCGTTGGGGAAGATTTCTATGATAAGCTGACCACTGAGCAAAGACCTTAAAGAAGGAAGACAGCAAATGTAAGCATTCCAGGTCCAGAAAATATTAAGTACAAAGATTGTGGGGAAGGAATCTACACAGGATCATTTTAAGAATAATAAGGACAATGTGGTTAAAGGGTGAGAACAAGGGGAAGAAGGGAAAGAGATAAAAGACTAAAGAATACTGGAGACTAAATCATGGAAAGATCCACAGATCACAATGGGGCTTCTTTTACTCTGGGTAGAGAGAACTGAACTTTTCAACTGAAGCACTTCTACAAAGAACTGAGAGTATGTGAATTCTTTTAAAAGACCATTCTGAATACAGAGTAACAAAATAACTATGATAAGGTGGGACAAGAATAGATGCAAGGAGATCAGTTAGGAAGCTTAATGCAGTAATTCTGGTAACAGGTTAGGATGGTTAGGGCTATAATTGTGGTAGAAGTGGTAAGTGATTGGTCCTGGACATATTTTGAAGGTAAGGGTTGGGATGTGGGGTGTGAATACCAAAGAGAGGACAAGAGCAAGTAATTAGGAATTTGGATCAACGTGAATTCAAATCCGAACTCAAACACTGAAAAACCATGAAACTTTTTATAAATTACTTAACCCTCTGTAAGTCATATAGTTTCCTCGTGTAAAATAGAAGTAAATGGACATTTGGGAAAATTAAAGAAAATAGGATATGTACAAAATTTGGCACACATTTTACACAAAACAAGTTATATCTAAGTACTGTTCATCCTATTATCCTAGAATGCTATAAGAAAGTAAATCATCAGTAAATATTGTTCATTATAACCAAAAAAACTGTAAGTCATATAAAAAATAATTTCAGTTCTAAGTCCCAGGCCAAAAGATCTTATACTACTGTGACACTTGATCCATGCATCTTATAGATAAGAATAAAGGATAAAATGGATTAGTGAGGGAGGGAGATAGCAAGGTAAGGAAAGGATTACAGGCAGTTAAAAGACCTAAGTTAAAGTTCAACATCTGCTAATTACTAAGGAACTTTGTGGAAATAACTGAATCAATTTTGCACTTTAGTTTCTCACAAGTAAAATGAAATGTTTGAATTCCTATTCCTTTTTGCTTTGCTTTAGAATATATTGTATTGCACAACACATTTATTGGCAGACTTCCTACTGCCATTTAAGTTATCCAAAAACAGTGGTATGTAATCAAGTAAAAAATCAGTAATTTCATTAGGCTTTTAGATAGTATAAAAAAGCTCATAAACTACATTTTCTTCACAGAGCCATAGGTTGGGAAATATTTAACTAGCTAAATCTCTAATGATTTCTTGAGTGTCAAAATCTCAAAATGTTGGGGGCACTAAAAAATGCAAGATAATACTATATATCTAAAGGCTGAGGCTGTTAATCTTTGTATCTTCTAATGTGGTAAAAATGCATGTTGCTTTCTTGGAAAATATCTGTGAAAAAATTAAAGACTGATTTTGTTACAAGACAATATATCAATTGGCTTACTTGTAAAAAGACTTGGGGAAAATCATTGAGGACTGACTCAAGCAATTCGAGGCCAAATGTCCGAGTCATTTCTGTCATGCCTACTAGCCAGTAAGGGGCATCAGCATTAACCAACTGACAAAGGTCCTGGGAAAATAAATTAAACAATTTCATGTGCTGAGATAAAATGCACTTTTCAAAACTCATAGTTTATAAAATTTAAATTCTCTTTTCCTTAGAAACTAAACATTAGTCACTCAAATTTTGACAAACTGCATAAAACTTGACAGATTTGTAAGTAAACTTCTATAGAATCATATAACTACTGACCATATGTAATCGACAAATAAATGATTAATGTTCTTTTAATTTAAAAAACTTTTATTCCAAATTAACATAACCATCAGTATATTCTTATTTTACTTAAATTATATATTCATGTCAAATAACGTAAAAAGCAGGTATTTGTGCATCAAATTATATTAAGTAGATCACAGGTTTATTCATTCATTTTCCTTGTTAAAGACATGGGTTTTTTTGTTTGTTTTTGTATGCCTAGTCATCCCACAAAGTCTATTTCTTAGTTCAGGGTTTAATTCATTTTATTTTTTTAAAGTGAGTCACAATATTTTATCATTTAAATATCTATACAGTAAATGCAGAAGCTGTTCTTCAGTCTTTTAGAACTATTTTAATATTACTTTTGACATACTTTAAAACTTTTCACATTAAAATATTGCCAGATATAAATTTCTAAAATCAAAAATTCTGTATATTCTAATATAGAGAATATAATAAAAACTAATTTAGCAACTGAAATACCTGGAAGAGCATATATGCATCTTTAGCACAAGGTTTCAGAGTACTGACAGACCTTCTATTACTATTTCCTTGGACCAGTGTTGGTTGTTCTATGATATCTGCAATCGAAATAGGATAGGTTTTAGGAGTTCATAATGTCCTTTAATAAGTACATATTCTGCTTAAGATGTAAACTTGTTCACATAATTATAAACTTTAATTATGATTTCAGAATTATGTTTCCAAAACAAAAAAATAATGAGGATCTATGTTTATATAAAATGCCATAAAAATCACTTCATTATCTCATAATCACTTTAATAAGCTTGGAATGTTTGCCTGTATATTTGACTTTCCCAGTCTTCCACTCATCAGTCCCCTGATCTCATGGATGTAAAATTTACATGATGTTTGAATGTATTCTAAATAGCAAACAAATTTTACCATATGGAGCCAGGCATGGTGGTACACTCCTATAATCCCAGCTACTCAAGAGGTGGAGATCAGGAGGATCATGGTGCAAGACAACCCCAGGCAAAAACTTAGCCAGACCTTGTCTCAACGAATAAGTCAAGTTCAAGTGTGGTGGTACACACCTGTCACCCCAGCTACCGAGAGGCATAAATAGGATCGTGTTCTGAGGCAGGCCCCAAGCAAAAATGTGAGACCCCATCTAAAACATAATTAAAGCATAAAATGGCTGGAGGCATGACTCATTGGTAGAGCGTGTGCTTAGCAAGTGTGAGGCCTTGAGTTCAAACCCCAGTACTGCCCCCCAAAAAACCTTTACCATACAGGTAATTCCCGTCACCTCACCACATCTTCAAAAGACGTAACTATTTAATCTGCTACTATTATTGTCAGTTACAGTTACTCACTGGCCAAGAGTAAGAGTAATGGATTCCCAACTCCATTAGTGTTTCTTTCACTACTAATAAAAAGGATACTATTCTCTGTAAATTATGACAGCTTCTTTTGAGTAAATGTTCATTTAAAAACTTGAAAAGAAAGGGGTTTTAAGTAATTTTTACCTTATTGGAAGTCATTAAATGCTATATTAGTCTTCAGAGACACTGAGCTATAACTACCAATCCAGGAATTATACTTCAGTTATGAATGCATAAGACATTTGAACTGGAAAACTACCCTATTTTCATATAATATATTTCTGAATAATTCCCTAACATTTTAAACTACTAGAATTCCACTTGCATTATCCCCCCAGAAAATACAGGAATATCATATACCAAAGTCAGTAGAAATATTCTGACAAACCAACAGGTTAAGAATGGCTGAACTAAATGAGAAAAACCTAACCAAGGTCAATTTCAGGAAAAGTAATTATTAGAGTAGGAACAATTACTATAACTTCCTAGTATTGCCCACTTTTACAAGTATTGTCATAAAAACATCTAATTTGATGTTTTTACAAAATCAAGATTAACAAATAGCAAGATTAGAAAAAAGATAAACTCACAGAAAAACACTTAAAAATGTTCTTTCTTTACAAAAAAAGATTGATCATGACTGTAGCACTTTCTGATCTTTTCACTAGATCACAGGAAAAATTTTTATTTTTCATTCAATAAAGGTAATGTGTAAAACCTAATTTCTACAGTGAAAAGTTATCAAATTACAGAAATTATGCCAAAACAGAAAGTATCTGTCAGCTCTCTGAAAGGATATGTTTTAAATCACAAAGAAAAAGACTCTATGAGGATACATAGTAAAAATGTAAGAGATTAATCTTTATATTATACAAGTATTCTTGATTAACACACACTAGTAGGCATAAGCAAAAATTTATTCTTGGCAATTAATCCTAAAGTCAAATAGTAGAAAAAATATATGTAGGATGACACACAAAACAGTCCTAAAATGTCAAACACCATCTAAGTGTCCAAAAGAAGACTAGTTCATTAAATCACAGAACAGCCACAAACTATAACCCAAATTATAAAATTATAATTTATTCACATAATTTAAATTATGTGAATAAAGGAATAACATAAAAAGCCCATTAAATGTAATATTTGGCTAAAGAAACATAAAATACAGTATTTGAATTAAAATGTGAAATTTTATTTTCAATATGAATTATGCACGTTAGAAATAAACATGAAAAATAAAGAGTCTACCTGTTAAGGTGATAAAACATGTGGGATTTATTTCTTAAATTGCCATTATTGATATAATGATGCACATATGTGTATATTTTTGAGACAGGGTCTTGCTAAGTAGCCCAGGCTGGCCTCAAACTCAAAATCCTTCTGCTTCAGCATCCCAAGTGCTGGGATTACAGGGGTGTTCTTCCATACCCAACTCCAAAAGAAATATATCTTAAAAGTTTTCTAATTTTTAGGTATTCCTAGTTCACATTGCAAAAGCTAAAAATTAATGAAAATGAAATCATGCATGTAAAAACCAACCACAATCAAAAGGAAACAACTTTTATCACTTTACCTCTGTGTCTTTCATCTTCAGCAACCATTCTCTCAAAGACAACAGTAACAACCTGTCGCACTGTAGCAGCAGCTGTATTATTTGTAATATTATCTTTTGTGAAGTGTAGTCGAAAACAAAGAACAATTGCCTAAAATAACAATTTTCATTTAATGTGGAATAAGACTGAATATCACAGCTATAAACTTTATCACACATAACCTCAAATCATTTATGTTTGACTGTTTCAATCAGGATACAAGTCTTACCCTTTCCATAAAACTAAAAAAATCCTCAGATTTTAAAATAAGTCAAAGTCTCAGTAAACATATAGCTGTATAAGATTAGCTAAAGGAATGTGAAATATGTACCTTTTAAATTTTGGTTCTTGTAACATGTATACAGTTTTTTCATTTCTCCAAAATGACTTGCTTTACAAATAGTAAGTATTCAGTCTGTTGTAACACAAAATCATTTGGGGGAATACTACATAAATTCCTAAGCATATAAATAAATAAAATTATGATAATTTTAGCAGGAGCCATGTTTTTCTCTTTAAATCAAATTTATTATTATAGTTTCTATTCAATAAATTATGTGCCTCAAAAGTATATAATTTGGTGAATTCTGACGATACATAGCCCATAAGACTATGGACACAATTGAGACACAGAACATTTTCACTTCTCCAAAAGATTCCTTGTGCACCTCCAAGGTTCATCTCTTCCTGTAGCTGGGCCACAGACGTTATCACCTAAATTATACAAAATTAAGCAGCTTACCTAACTGCTTGTTTCACAGTATGTTACCTAGCATTTTCTACAATTTTATATAAACAGATTTATTCAGTGTTTGACTTCTTTCACTTAGAATATTTGTGAAGTTCATGTATGTTATTATGGGTATCAGGACTTTGTATCTTTTTTTGAGAGTACAGAAAAGAAGTTTATTAAGGGAAAGGACAAAGCTTCCATGTAAGGTGGGGGAGGGGCCCCGAGAGGGTTGCTCTGTTATCTTTTTAGTATTGAGGAGATTCTACAGTATGAGTATATAACACTTTGCTTAACTATTTACCTGTTGATGGACATCTGAGTAGTTTTCAGTTTAGGGCTATTATGAAAAAAGTCACTATGAACATTCACAAGACTCTGTGAGGACATGTTTTCATTTACACTGGGTATATAACTAGGACTGAAATGACTGGGTCATAAAACAATATAGGTTTAACTTTTGCAAAGTAGATTTATAATTTTATAATATTGCCACGAGTATGTGTGAGTTCAGAACTATTCAACAGTACTGGATCTTGTCAGTCTCTTTTAATTTTAACTATTGGATATGTAATGATAACTTCTTGCAGTTTTAATTTGCATTTTACCAATAAGCTGTAATAGTGAGTCTCTTTTTTGTATTTGTTAGCCATTTGAATATCTTATTTTGTGAAGTGTCTGATGAACTCACTGGTCTATATTTTTACTCAGTTGTTCTGTCATACAAAAGGATTATAACACTTGTTGATATAGTCTGCATACATGTCCATGTCAGGTATTTGTGAATATTTCCCTCCCTTCTGTGACTTCTTTTATAGTTCATGGATTTTTACACCCTAAGAAATCTTTGCCTACCCCAATATCACAAAGATCTTCTCCTATGGGCTCTTCTAAGTTTTACAGTTTGAAACCATTCTTGAAAAATAAAAAGAAAGTACTAATTTAGACTCTATGCCTAATCAACTTAATTATATTAAAATTTTAAAGGAAACAAATCTTTGATATCACTATTACTCTTTATCTTTCATCATAAAGCAAAGGCCCACTGGTTGCACAGAAGCTTTCATACTCTTCAATTTTTTATTATTTATTTATACTTGATTTTCATCCCCAAATATTTCATTTTCAATTAGCTAACATACTAAACTAAATCCTATAACTAGCTCCTATTTCTTTAGTAGATTGATAACCTTTTTATGTATCAGAAAAATAATTTGATAGGTAGAAAAACAACTCTATTTTATAGGCCATCCACCCTTAAAAGCATGCAAGTTATAATAAAACTATTATTGAAAGTCAAAAAACATTCCTTAATCATTAATTGAAAACTGTTTGTTATTCTGTATTTCCTGTTCTTTAGAAATATTTTGTAATTTAAGACACTTTTTAAAAAGTTAAATAAGTAATACAACAACTCTTTTATGTTCTAAACAGAGTGAGAGAGGGAAAAAAATAAGAAATAGCCATCAAGATGGGCACTGGTGACTCATGCTTGCAATCCTAGCTACTTGGCAGAGATCAGGAGGATCCTGGTTCGAAGCTGGACCAGCAAACAGTTCATGAGACCTTATCTTTAAAAAAACCCATCACAAAAAAAGGGCTGGCGGAGTAGCTCAAGTGGTAGAGCACCTGCTTAGCAAGCAGGAGGCACTGAGTTCAAACCCCAGTACTGCCAAAAAAAAAAACCCAAAAAACCCCCCAAAACTAGCTATCATATATTCAGGCTTATCTGGTACATGTGCTCAAAGGAGACTTTTCTAGCCACTTAAGAGACAGACTTGAACTATGTAGTTTACATAACACATACATGTAAAATTGTTTTTAAAAGCGAGGAAGGGAATCTAAAATATACACAATATCATACAACACATTTTCCCCTCTTTTTCTATTCCTACACTTCTACTACTTTTCTTTTTTTCATTTCGTGTTCATAACTAAAGCAATCATCAATACCTAAGGGGTGCTGCTTAAGCAACCTAACATGATTTCAGCTCTAATCTGGAGAAAATAAGGGACCCATGGTTATTAAAGTTCAATGTTGATCAACACAATAGCTATAGGGAAGTTGCTTTTGGTTCCAAGTGTCAGGTTTTCCTCTTTCAGCCAGCTTATTCAAATACTGTTTCAATGCATTCATAAACTCAGACAAACATATACCCTACCTTAGAAAGTGCCTCGTCATGAACTACTGTATTGGTTGTTAAAAGAACAAGAACTGTTTGAAGTAGCTTAAGTTCTTCAAGACTATTCTCCATTAGCTGCCAAAGCATGTTAATTATATTTCCAGCGGCAGTCTGTAAGATAATAATTTTAATTACTGTTAACAAATAAAACATATATTTAGGTCCCCATATAAGGAAAGGTACACACCTTACCTCACCTGGAGAGAATTTCATTATCATAGTAACAAAAACATACTTTAGATATATATAGTACAAACATTTCAACTACTTTGAGATTTAGAGCCAATTTTCTCCTAAAAAAACTAAAGTAAACGTCTTAAAAATATATTATAACAAATAGAGACATGTAAGTCTTAAATACCTAAATAAAAAAGCTTAGTTCCATTTAGACATGAATAATATGGACACACACTGACTATGAGTCTGCAGTCTCTTATATATTACTTCACTACAGTATGTTAAAGAACAACAAAAAAAAAGCAACCAAAATTAAAAACACATTGTATACTTTGCACATTCAAATAAATTTGACATTCTTTGGGATGCTATACCAAGGGCAAAAGAACTTACCACTTCCATTACAATATTCTATTCTATGGAGTACAAAACTAAGGTAAAATGACTGAAAGCTAGATGCAGATTCATAGTAATATTTTTTCTTTTTTTACCATCATCAATTTAGATCTAAACAATATATTTAAGTTAATGATCAACACATTTCACTTCAGAGACCTAGAAGTAATTATTATTCCTACCTTTCATAAATATTTATATATTACATTTAATATAAAGCTGTTTTCTTCAAGTGTACTACTAGTCATAAAATTATTTTATATTAAATATCAGGTGTGGAAATTGTTCCCTTCCATGCAGTTCGGATAAAGTCCTTGTATTACCTCAGACACTACTTCATGTGACATGAGTCTCTGAATGGCAGCCAAACACAGCTGAGTGATCTTCGGTTCCTTGGTTCCACAACCCATTAAGAAAGGCTGCACAACTTCTGAGCTGTTCTCTTTCAGTGCTTTATTTGGAACACATATAAGATTAAATATTAAATCTAATTCATAATTAGGAATAATTTTATATAATTACAATCCATGATAATCTCAATAAAAACCATTTTATATACAATACACACCAGAATGAAAATCAAGTAATAAAAAATAAAATATTTCAGGTAGATAGTATAGACTTTCTACCTAAACTATAATCATTTACTGAAGCTTTCCCATATCTTTCTCCTAACACTCGGTCTTTTGTTTCATCCCCATCTTCTGCTATAAACTTTTTAAGGACATAGGTTCTCAGAAGTTCAGAGAAATACTATTTTTTCATGTAGTGCAGGAGGGAAAATAAATAGGAATTTGCACTCTAGAGCAGAAAGAATAAAAATAGTATGCATATCATCCTCAAATTTGTGAATAAATATTAGGAAACTTCCTAGAATTTCATTATATGCTTTGAATTTGTACATCTCTAATTTCTTCTTCAAGAAATAAATACATTTCATTATAAACAGTAGCATTTCTCCTTTTAGTACTGAAAGAGTACTTTACATTAGTTGAATATATATGCTATGATTCCAAACCTTAACAAAATTGTTCTATACCAAGTCAACTCTCAAAAATTTTAAAGTAGCAACAAAAATGTAAGAGGTTAGAAAATGTACAAACTGATTTATACATACTAAATTTATAAAATGACATTAAATCAGTACACATTTACTGAAAGGCTACACAATGATGAATACAACAGGTTTATCATTTTCATGGAATTTGAATACATAACATGGAATTCCAAGTCAAAAGAACACTAAAATTAGGAGTTTGATATTTATTCTCAATGATACAAAACTCATTAATTATTTTTCAGGCAGGACATATCATAAAGATAGGTAAATGTGAGTCCTGCAATGTTTTTTAAAAGACATTTAGAAGAACCCACCCAAAAATCACTACTAAAACCACAAAACCAATGTTACCATTAATTTTGTTGTTTAAATCACACCCTTCCTCTCCTAAAGCACTCTTTATAGTATTGTAACTTGAGACTACAATTTCCTATATCATTCTCTACAAAGTCCCTCATTTTATAGCATTAAATTACTGACAGTACAGCAAAGAGATGGCAAATATGACTAGAAAAGAGTAGTGTTCCCAAAAGGGCTCCCTCTCCTTATTTCCTTGCTTTCTTCTACACAGGTTTTGATTAAAACCTAGAGAGACAAGTTTCCATAAGAATGTCTCAAAACATTGATATGAAAGATCAAAATGACCGTAATGCTAATCATAAAACTTTAATAAAGTGATTAAATATCCCACCATATTCAATTCTGCTAGAATCATTCTAATCAGAGGCTACCCCATTTCTGCTGAGCACTCCATATTGTTAATGTTGCTCAGGCAAATAAAAAGTTTTCCATAGTAACAAGTTGACATTAGCATATGGTTCTTCTTTGAGCATCACAAAAATTTTATAGTTTATAGAGCATAATTTGGCCCAAATAACACAGTAAGTAGGTGATGAAGCCAGAATTTGAAAATATGCCTTCAAATTCCTAGTTTACTATTCTTCCTATAACATTATGCTGCCACTCTTTAAGTCAAATAGCATCCTGAAGATAAAGGAACTTAAAAGAGTGCTCAAACACCTGTACTTTAAAGCTGTCTGCCTAGTCTTCAGTTAAACCCAGTAAAGAGTCATAAAATTTAAAAAAATGCATTTATTTTTGTAAGAGTATAAGATGGCAATGATTTTAAGACATACCTGTAATATCAAAGAAAAATCAATGCCAATTAAACAATTACCCAATGCTTTTTTAACTATTTAAAATTTTTCCTCCCAATTTCTTCTGGACAATCAAGAGCATTATGGATACTTCATTTCTTCAAAGTCTATTTTACTACTGTCTTTGAGATTTTCTTCTAAACCATTCTACATCTTTTGATGCTGGTGGGTTTGGGTTTTGTTGTTGTTGTTGGTTTGTTTCCTTGTTTAATTTTACCATAAGATGTTCACTCAGGTAACATTTTAAACAGCAATTAAATTCAACTGATGTGATAATATGAACAACTACACATCAAAATAGAAAACTACACCACCTGACTTACAGTGATTCTAAGATGCCATGAATTGTAAGATTCATACCAGGAGAGATTCCAAGATGGCGGCTAGAGGGAGGAAGCAGAAAGCAAGCCTCCTATAGTGAAATCTTGGGGAGATGCTGGAGACACACTTTGCAGACATAATCACTGAGAAAAGGCATAACTTTGACCCCTCCACACCTCCAGCCTGTGCAGAGAATCTCCACTTCATGTTAAACGGAGAAACCAGGAGGGCCCCTGGCCTCCAGTCACCCGCACCCAGATGGCTTGGGAAGACAGGGACCAGTGAGCTTCGCGGTACCATGGTACTCCCACAGACAAGCCTGGGCCAGAGCAGCATAGCCCCCCGGACAGACTGACCTCCACCCGGGAAAAAAGAGAAACTGACAAATAAGCAAAAAGAACAATAAAGACACACCGGAAAGAGGGTGGAGTGCCCTGAGTGCCAAAGATTGGGGTAAGGGAATCCTTCACAGGACTGTAAATAAACAAGCCCGGCAGGCTGGAGAGCCTCTGGCGCGCCCAGCAACCAGGAGCAGGAAAGCTTGTGAAAGTGGCAGTGGGAGGAAAACTGCACAGGCAAGGAGGGAAGACCCACCTCCCACATGTACTGTAAATAAACAAGCAGGCCTGAGAACAGGCAGTGTCACCTTTCCCAGTGTGCTTGGAAAGGGGAAAGCTTGTAGCAGAGGCTCCCACTTGAGAACTCTGAGCAAACAAAGCCTTTGGGGCCAGGTGAGTGCTAAGCTCACCCCAGAGATCTGCATAAATAATGCCGCCAGCAACAGAAGGCTGACAGCAGCAGGCAGGCAAGCCACAGCTGCAGATACTATTCTCAGAACTGTCTCCAGACTCTTTTTTTTCTTTTTCTCCCTACCTTCGATGAGAGAACAACCGAATTACACCTGCATGCTGAAAAACTTACAGAAACTGTATTGCATTTGAACTTGGGACACTTGGTGGGGTTTGTGTGTGTGTGTGTGTGTAGTTTTGTTCTACTTTATGCATCCCCTTTGATGAGACAACTACAGACAACATCTGAGGCACCATTTCCAGGATTGGAGACTGAGACGGACACCCTCATTGCATTTGAACTTGCAGGTTTTTTGGTTTTATTTTTTTAATTTTCTATTTTCCATTTTATTTTAATTCATTTTTATATATAGATATTTCTTTCATTTACTTATTTTTTATTTTTTTATCAATCCTCTCTCTGTCTCTCTAATGTCTGTTCAGCTTACTGTCAATTAGTACACTAACACTCCCTGTTTATACCTTTGAAACTTTCTTATCTGAAACCTTGTTCTGCTTTCTCCCTCTTGTCTGTATATTTGTTTTCCCCTTTTCTTTAACTTTTTGCTTTCCATCTGAGCTCACCCTTCCATTCTAAATATTACCATTGTTATTATTACAAGCTAGAAAATACTTAATTGCACACAGTACAGGGACATTAACAACACCAAAGACAATGACGGGAAGACAGAAAAAACAGGGAAACCAGTTTCCTCACAGCAAAAAATTAGTACAGGAACCAGAGGGGAATGAAGAAAACAGATACTCAGATCCAGCCTCCAACAAAATGAAGATAAACTATGCCAAAGGACCCAATGAAGCCCACAAGAATAATTTAAAAGAAGACATACTACAGGTACTCAATGAGAATTTTATAGAGATGATACTGGATAGGGTCAACCAAAATGTACAGGAGACACTCAAGAAATTCCAAGACAACAAAAATAGAGAATTTGAAAAAGCAAAAGAAGAAATAAAGGAAACCATAGAAGCACTGTATAAACACCAAAGTGAAACAGAGAACACGATGAATAAATGGATAAATGAACTCAGGACAAAAATAGACAACATTAAAGAGGAAACTGCCAGGATATGGAAAACCTCAGAAAAAAGAACGAAACAGAACTGCAAAACAAAACGGAAGGCCAATCCAGCAGAATAGAACAAACAGAAGACAGAATCTCAGAACTTGAAGATGAAATGGTAATTAAAGGAAAAACTGAAGAACTATTAATTAAACAACTCAAGACCTGTGAAAAGAAAATGCAAGAACTCACCGACTCCATCAAAAGACCAAACTTGAGAATCATGGGCATCGAAGAAGGAGAAGAGGTGCAAGCAAGGGAATGCATAATATATTCAACAAAATAATAACGGAAAATTTCCCAAATCTAGAGAAAGATATTCCCATACAGATGCAAGAGGCCTCCAGGACACCAAACAGACCAGATCAAAATAGAACTACCCCATGGCATATCATCATTAAAACAACAAGTTCAGAAACTAAGGAAAGAATATTGAAGGCTGTAAGAGAGAAAAAACAAGTAACATACAAAGGTAAACCCATCAAAATCACAGCAGACTTCTCAACAGAAACATTAAAAGCAAGAAGAGCTTAGGTGAGGTCTTCTGGGCACTGAATGAAAATAACTTCAACCCCAGGATACTCTACCCAGCAAAACTATCATTCAAAATAGATGGAGCAATAAAAGTCTTCCATGATAAGCAGAAACTAAAACAATATGTGACCACAAAGCCACCACTACAAAAGATTCTTCAAGGGATTCTGCACACAGAAAGTGAAACCCAACTTAACCATGAAAAGGCAGGCAGCACCAAACCACAGGAAAAGAAAAAGCAAGACAGTAGAGAGTAACCTCAACTTAGGTACACACAATCAAACCTTCAAACAACTAAGACAACTAAATGACAGGAATCACCACATACCTATCAGTACTAACACTTAATGTTAACGGACTTAATTCACCCATCAAAAGGCACCGTTTGACGAAATGGATTAAAAAGGAAGATCCAACAATTTGTTGCTTACAGGAGATCCATCTCACCGACAGAAATAAGCATAGGCTTAGGATGAAAGGCTGGAAGAAGATTTACCAAGCCAATGGCCCCCGAAAACAGGCAGGAGTAGCAATACTTATCTCTGACAAAGTAGACTTCAAACCTACATTGATCAAATGAGATAAAGAAGGACATTCCATACTAATAAAAGGGGAAATAGACCAAAAGGAAATAATAATCATCAATCTGTATGCACCCAATGTCAACGCACCCAATTTCATCAAACATACCCTGAAAGACCTAAAAGCATATATAAACAACAACACAGTGCTTGTAGGAGACTTTAACACCCCGTTATCATCAATAGATAGGTCATCCAAACAAAAAATCAATAAAGACATCCAAGATCTAAAATATACAATAGATCAAATGGACCTAGTTGATGTCTACAGAACATTTCATCCAAACTCTACACAACAT